ACGCACACACACACACACACACGCACACACACACACACACACACACATGTACGTGAGACGTCGTCATTGCTGTTGTTGTCGTTTACAGCCAGTCATCCTGACATGAAAACAGTCCTTTCTCATCAGGCTATAGGTCACAGTATAGTATAGGTTTAAACGCCCCTTTTAACACTGTTAAATGGGTTGATTTATCTGTTTTGTTGTCGCAGAACAATTAGGTGATATGAGTTCCGGAGATTAGAGGTGTTACAAGAAAGTAACAAACACAAAAAAAAAAACAGGAGGAGAGCTAAGGACGACAGATGTTTTATAGGAAAGAAGGATTGGAGACAAGGACGATAGATGTTTGATAGGAAAGATGGAGGAGAGATAAGGACGATAGATGTTTGATGGGAAAGAAGGAGGAGAGATGTTTGATAGGAAAGAAGGAGGAGATACAAGGACGATGGATGTTTGATAGGAAAGGAGGAGAGATAAGGACGATGGATGTTTGATAGGAAAGAAGGAGGAAACCACATTACAGCACCCGCACCCGGTGGCCAGGTCAGGTGGTTAGGCTGTCAGGCTCGCAACTCAAAGGTCATTGGTTCGAACCCATCAGGGGGGGGGGGGGGGGCTAACGTTGGGTCCATTCGATCCTCACTCCACCCAGATGATAACAAGTCGTCTTCTCAGAACTATTTTGTCCAAAGTTTACTTAAATAAAGAGGCATTTTGGATTTTTAAAAGTTCTGAGGCCTGTAGGTGCTCAGCTACAGACAGCAAAAGACCTTGTCAGTTTGTTAGTGTTAGAGCACTTGTCGAATCAGCTGCTTGCATGGTATGTTTCCCAGGAGGCTGAAAATGTTTCTGAATGTTCAAGGTGTGCGCTACATAAATGCATTTAGCATTATTTTTATTATCATCATCATCATTATTATTATTATTATTATTATTATTATTACTATTATTATTATTATTATCATTATCGTGATCATCATTATTATTACTATTATTATTATCATAAGTAAAATTATGATAATTATTACTATTGGAGGAACAAATTAGGACAATAAAAACACTTTTTTTTCAGTAACAGGGCAAGTAGCGAATCATAAGAGCAGAAGACAGGCCATACACACGCGTCCGTTACGAAACACCCAGCAAGCAAGACGGAACAAGCGAGACACAAGTCCCAAGACGCCGGGAACTAAAACTACACACCGGGGCTGGGTTACATGAGCACTGAGCAGTGGCAGGCCTCGACAATGATAGCGGAACGTTGACCTTCAATTTTCAATACTGACCCGGCGCACAACATAAATCAAACACTACAACAGCCATCTCAAGATCACGAGACATCGACGCGGTCGAAACAATTGGGGAGAAGAGGAGAGGCGAAGAGGGGCTGGCGCGTGTCTGTGACTGACTGTGTATGAGACGTGTGTGTGTGTGTGTGTGTGTGTGTGTGTGTGTGTGTG